AGCAGTGATTCGTAGTTTTTCGCTCATAGTGTTTATAGAAACATCAGTCGAGTTTGTGTATTTGCATCCACCACATGCGTATGAACATTCTACTCCGTGCCTCTTGCAAGTGCATCTTCTAGTGCCACAATCTGATTGGCATTTACATTGTAACACATTTAGAAGACTCCGTAGCTGGTGACAAATCAGTGGTTTTCGATTCAAAGTAATCATTAATTCGATGTCTTGTGAAAATTGTCACCTTTTCCCATCCATTGTTGAATTTGTAAATAAACACTGGCACTGTGGTAGCAAGCAGCTGCTGTTGTTGGAGGAATACTCTGGACATGTACAGTAGTGGTGCTTGTAGGTACTTTTACACAAAATCGTAGTTTAAAAGAACCATGTCAAGAACGACCACAATACAAAGAGAACAAAGCCATCTCACTAGTAATAACGATTTCATCTTTTGATGATTCCTGGGATTCTTGTTTTTGTTAACAGGGCTGGTTTTCAATTTTGCAAACTGTAACATGGTGTCACATCCCGATTTGTATGAGCAAATTTGCACATCTCAAGACCTATTTCGATCGTGCTAAAGCCAATTAATATTCCACACTTTGATGTCTTGTTTACATTCTGTTCTTATGTAAAATGGGAATGACTTTGTGTCTGTGTGGATGCACAGTAGCACTAATAGGTCGGTATCCTCTCCAATAAGAGAGGTTGCACAATTTTGACTCAATTTATTGCTGTCTGAGCAAGAGCATCATCTTTAGCATAGATGGTTGTGAAGCCATTTTCCTGCAGCTTTGTACTCTGCATATATATTAACCGCTGTTTGTGTTTGGATTTTGATGAGAAATGTTCCGTCTTGATCTTAAATGACATATTTCCAGCAAAGTCTACTTGGGCACCTACTAACCTCTTTAAATGCCAAGTATGAGCAATATCAAAAATATAGATGGGTTTGTACCATATCCAGTGACAGTAGCATACTTTCATTGAAGGTGACGGAATTGAAGGTGACATACATGTCTCTTCGGCAATAGGCATATCACACCTACCTACCCTACCCTACCTATAGTCCGAATGACATCAATAAGTTGTGGTTTGTTAGCCTTTTGACCCATTGTCACGAGACCTTTTTTGAAAGTGTAGTCTTAGATCTTGTTTCTCAAGGATTTCAAAATCTTGAATCCAACTTCTTTCGCTTTATCTGCACTCAAATATCACCAGCTGTTACATTATTGGCAATGTTTCGCAAAGATGGATCTGGATCTAAGGGGTTTCTCTCTTGTAAAATCTATGTAAAGCTTTGCTGTCTTTATCATCTCTTGTTTGTCTTACCAGAGGCATGTTTTTATGGACAATAAATATTGTCTGCATTGAGAATTCTGCATTCCACGACCTCTAGTTAATCCACCTGTCATCTTCATATTTCTCATTAACACTTGTTCGATTACTAGATCAAAAGACAACTCGGGGAAATACAGATCACTACGCGCGAATGACATGGTAACGATTCTTGAAGAAATCCAATACATCTGCAGGTCACGACTCAACCTCAAACATTTGTTGTAGATAAATGTGCACTGATTTAGTGTACAGATTATGACCAGTTGCAGCATAATATGGCAGCATAGCTATGAGTGTCTGTATATAAAGATTCCAGTCCCCTGTCCGCTCTGCTTTGATGAACTGACGAAGAAGATTTACCATGTAACCGGATACATGCTGTTGGATAAATGGACAGTTTTTATTTCTATTTTGTGCTGGACTTTGTCAAAATACCCTTTTTGAGCAGACATCATCCACAGTAATCACACATTTAGTATTATGTAATACTGTTCTACTGTTCTGTTGAAATACATACACTACTAGCTATCAGCAATTAGTAAAATTGAAAATTAATTACAGCAAATCGTACATGCATTTTATTTTGGTTATTGTTAATACAAACCTATACTGTAATATTCTGTGAATTGATCCTGTTTGCATATGATCCATAACCACTTCATCAGTGGATGCTTGTTCTATATTCTCGGAATCATGTTCATCAAGTAGACATACACCAAACGTGTCTGCTGTAACTATTGCATTCAGGACAGCGTCGATAAGAAAATATCCTGCTCTTGCAAGTGCTTTGCCACTGAGGATGTGCCCTATGTTATATGGTATAACACCTCCTCAAAACCTGATCCACCCATCAAATTAATTATGCTACCTAGGAAATTCATTTCTGCATAGAATCCACGTAATATAAAGGAACTTAGTTCACTACTAAGGGCTTCTTTGTTAATGATTATCTGTGCATTCCACTACAGTGAATGTGAGCATTGATTTCACTTGTTGAAGTGTATATTCAGATTCCACAACTTGAGTGTTGAATACACACAGCTCATGTCAGTGGGATCCATATCGATCTCTGGTAAGAATGTTATTGGTGACATGCCTGGATAAGTTCCCTGGTGAACAGCCTGCAACATTTTAGACCAGTTGGATCAGGATCGAGCTGAATTGACTGGCCACACCACCATAATGTGTCATTACCTTGAAGGTCTTGTAATTCATGATACACTAAAGAAATATAAGCATAAATAGGCTTGCAAAAGTGATGTCAATCACTCCAACCTTTGCTACTTGTTGTACCTTGGTACGGGTTTAGGTATGTTGCTTCGAGGTGTAGCGGTAACTATGATACCCATTCCATGAAATGTGTTTTGACCATCCAGTGTTCGAACATTGTGGATTGCATTGTCTGCTACATATTGCACAAGGAGAAATACTAGGGATATATGTTCTCTGAGATTGTGCAGCACTCTTCACTTCAGAATAAAACGTGCAGAATTCATGACAAACTTGGATCCCATGTGATTATGCTTGTTTATACATATTTCTTTGTCATCACCAAAGAATAAATGTGAATTAATTTTTGACGAAAACAATCATCAAGATTAGCATAGGCACACAATTCTGGCTTTGATTTTACTTATCGTACAGTCCTGGACTATGAAGACGCCATGTTTTGAATTTGCTTTGAAAATACAGTAAATTATTACATGGACACGTGACTTTATTTGCATGGTTATGGAGTGCCAAAATGTGCTTTAGAAGATACCGAATCGGAATGGTTCGGAATGGTTCGGAATGACATGCAACCTAAACTTTGAGTAGGAACTATATTATTCATTTGCATATCAGTTGTAGACAATAACAATTTAATTACAAGGCAAATTGCTGAGTTAACTGCAGTTCAAATGTCATACCAATTATAAAAAGCAACCAATACCTAATATGATAATCAGAAACACTATAAAATAGTCAACAACTTTTGAGAAATTTTAAGCCAACATTGTTTTCTTATTTGATGTATAAAAGCTTTGATAGGCCTCTTTTAATGACTATGGTTGTTTATCATTACACATCCGCTAGATATTTTAAATAATACATTGGAATTTTACATTGAAAAAGCATCATCAAAATTATTTAAATCCTTTTTAGTACTATTTAGTATATGGTAGCGTGTGTTGTTGGCCATTTTGAATTTATGCAAATTAGTCTCTTTCTTCACTTACATATTTGATATTCTGCAATAAAATTAAGATTAAGTTGCCAAAAATAAACTTTCTGTTGCAATTTGCTCTATGTTTGGCTATTTTATTGCTCGATTGACTGGACTACTATGTCAATCGATAAAAACTCATCACTCAAAGAGACACGTGAATGTTACAAGCCCCTTGACCTGACTGTTGTCTTCGTCCGTTATGCAATCCAAATTTATTGGTATGCTAATTGCCAAACACTGAGTGCGTCGTGTAGAGAAATAATTGGGGGTCAGGTGTACGCCCTCTGATGTAAGAAATATGCTACTAATATGTTATTTTACGTAACACTATACCAACATGCTGAAGTTGTGAGTGATTATTAGGACATATATTTGCCATTCAAATGCCACAGCTTCAGTTCTACTGGTTTTAGACGAACTGGCAACAACTTGTACAGGTATACTTGATTCTTCGGTAGTACAGATCCTTAACCGTTCATGGCGGAATTTTCGACCCCCGTGAGTTTACTGTGCATTTAAGATGCATGTGTGAATTAGCAAATTTGCATATTAATTACCTAAATCAGCTTGGAGTCATTCTATAGAAAGAATTTCTTGGTTGTATAATATCAAATTCACTTCACATGTATGCATGTATGATCACTTTCTAGCAACTCTTGTCATGTAATTGGGATTTTAGTTAATTCGGTGTAAGGTCAAATGTTTGAATTTTGCCTGTTCTCTGAACTGTTGATTGTCAGCTTTCAATGGCATTTATTACTAACTGGATATTATTGTCCATTTACTCGCCGGTTTCAAATGCCAAGTGTAATACAAATTTTCTCATTACATCACTGGATTTTAGTAGCGATTTGACAGTTAAATCATATCGAACAAAAATACTATTGGAACTGTTATCGATTCATTGTAATGATGGCAACGCAACATGGTGAGGCGGTGTGTACCGGAGATTGCATCAATACAACACAAAATGACGTGACGTAATACTCACATCCAACTGATCAAAAAATGTGCTATTGCATGGACAAATGCCGCGAAATCAACACGGCTTGACTTGTGAGAAAATAGTGAATAAATAACATATTGACATTCTCTCCCTACTTAGATGTTGTTTACGAGGATATTTGTGACCTGTTAGTATAAACATGTTACTATGAATATGTTATATAAACATGTTATTATACACATGTTACTATACACATGTTACTATAAACATGTTATTTTAAACATGTTACTATAAACATGTTACTATAAACATACTTTCAGATCCAAATATATATTGACTGAACTATATATGACTCAGACTAATGATATGTTAACCAATTATATGTTTTACCAATTGCGTGAACGTGGTGCATTTTGGCAAAACAAAACAAAAAAGCCCGATATTATACCTTTTTTTTCAATATTTGTACATTTTATAATTTATATTTATAGAATAGCAAAAAAAGATATGACGATGCAAAGTTTGTCGAAGAGTATTTACCATAATGTTAATTACTTCAAAGCCTATGATACACTCATTTCTCACATCACCAACAAAGACGAAGTGGTTCAACTTTGGACAGAGCAGTGGAAAACAATTATGAAGAACATTTCTTTCAATCCAAATGAGGGAAACCCGATCCGGATGTTGAAAATTGGTGCTGGGGATGGTAAGACAACACTAGTACTACAAATAAACTCCTCATTGGTGACAATGTGATAATAGATTTAACAGTAGTACTTTTTAGTACAGTGCCATCACAGTTGTTGAAAGTCTCTCAAATGAATTCGATTCAACTGATATTGAAAAGTTTATATATTTAAATCATGAATTTAAATATTATATATTATTGTATTCTCAAACATTTACCCCCATGTAAGTTCATTTCATTTTCACGATTGGTTTGAAAGTATTCTTATTTTAAATGTTTTCACAATTAAAAAAAATCTTTTCAACATTGCATACAATTCCACATTAGGCATGTATGATGTATAGTGTATGCATGTATGATATAGTGTAG